CCTGAAACTAACTCTGTAGACCAGGCTGGCCTTGAACTCAGAGATCCTCTTGTCTCTGCCTCCCAATGCTGGAATTAAAGACATGCACCACCACTGCTGGGTTGAAACTTTTCTTTCTTAAAACTGCTTTTATTGGGGCTAGTGAGATGGCTCAGAGATTAAGAGCACTGGTCGCTCTTGCTAGAGGTCCTGAGTTCAATTCCCAGCAACCACATGGTGGCTCACAACCATCTGTAATGGGATCTGATGCCCTCTGCTGGCATGCTGGTGTACATGCAGATAGAGCACTCATACATTAAAAAAAATAAGTAAATAAAAAAGATTCTTTAAAAACAGCTTTTTAATAAAATGCAATCATTTATTTTGCGTTTGTGTATGGGCACAAACACCATAGTGCACATATGGAAGTCAGAGGATAACTTTGAAGATTGTTTTCCTATCTCTCCAGACAAGGTCTCCTATAGCTCAGACTGTCCTTGAACTTGCTACATAAGTTGAATTCCTGCTCCTTCTGTCTCTGCCTCTCAAGTGTTGGGATGCCAGGCAGGTGCCACCACATCTGGCTGCCAGTTTTCTTTAAAAAAAAAAAAAGTGTGTGTGTGTATGTGCGTGTGTGTGTGCGTGTGTGTGTGTGTGTGTGTGTGTGTGTGTGTGTGTGTGTGTGTATGAAAGTGTGCATGTGAGGAGGTGCCCCCAGAGACCAGAGGAGGATCTCAGATCCCCGGAAGCAGGAGTTAAGGTGGTTCTGAACCGCCTCACAAAAATGCTAGGAACAGAACTCAGGTCCCCTGCAAGAACAGTAAGAGCTCTAATCACTGAGGCATCTCTCCAGCACCGTGACTACATTTATTATTGCTTTTGAGAAAAGGCCTCATTATGCTGTAACCCAAATTAGTCTCAAATTCATGATCCTCCTGCCTCAGCTTGCTGAGGGCTGGGATTAAAGACAGGTACCACCAAACCCAGTGAAACTAACCATGTCAGGTTATAAGTGAGCCCACAGAATACCATCTCCCAGGCCCTTTTGTACTCACATGTAAAGGACCAGCAACATTCAACTAGATCACAGGTTGTATACAGTAGTTAACTTTTCCTTAACTGAAGATTATAGGGCTGGGCTGTGGCTCGGTTGCTAAAGCGCTCTTGGCTAGTGTGCTTGGAGTCTGGATTCCATCCTTAACATGGCAAAGAAAAAAAGAAAGAAACAGGTAGTGCACTCTTCGAATCCCAGCACCTAGGAAAGGGAAACAGGGATCAGAGGCCAAGGTCATAGCAGATTACAGAGTTCAAGCCTAGCCTGGGCTACAATGAGATTCTGTCTCAGTTAAAAAAAAAAAGTCAAAATAAAACAAAGTAAAGTTTTACTAGAACACATATCCACCCTTCAGTTTAGCCCAGTGCTCTCAGCCTTCCTAATGATGCAACCCTTTAATACAGTTCCTCATGGTGTGGTGAATACAATTATTTCGTTGCTAGCACATAACTGTCATTTTGCTACTGTTATGAACTGTAATGTAAATCTCTAATATGCAGGTTATCTGATGTGTGATCCCACCTCCCGTCTGCCTCTGGATGCCTTCTGCAACGGCAGAGCCCAGTGTTTGTGAGAGAGACCAAAAACCCTTGTGAACTGCAGCAGCCTGAGGTGCTGCATGTGTAGCCAGGAGCTAGCACGTTATTTTATGGCCTCCGGTCAAGAAGACAAATTCCTTTGGGCTATCTTCATTGCCTTTTAATAAGCCACTTACTGTCACTTCAGCATCTGGCCTAGTGTCTTTATGACCACTACAGGACAGCCCTCTGTCTTCACTTTGCCTCCAGCTAAAACCAGGTGTGGCAAGGGGTGTGGGTGGGGGTGGGGTTGTGGCACACATCTTTAGTCCCAGCACTCCAGCAGAGGCAGAGACAGCCCAGCCTGGTCTACAGAGTGAGTTCCAGGACAGCTAAAGCTATACAGAGAAACTCTGTTTCAGAAAACAACAACAAAAAACCCAACCAACCAACCACACAAAAGCCGTGTGACAATACATGGTGTACTCTGAGCATTGTGGGTAGGAGAGGTGTAGCAAGATTGAAGGACTCAGGTCTCTTTTTACATCAAGTGGTCCCAGGTATCGCATCAAATTTGGGTCATTAAGCTTAGCAGCAATCAACTTTACCCCAGTGTGCCATCTCTGTAGCACCTTGTCATTTTTTTTTTTTTTGAAGAAATCTGGAGGGACTGGAGAGATGGCTCAGAGGTTAAGAGCACTGGCTGCTCTTCCAGAGGTCCTGAGTTCAATTCCCAGCAACCACATGGTGGCTCATGACCATCTCTAATGGGATCTGATGCCCTCTTCTGGTGTATCTGAAGACAGCTACAGTGTACTCATATAAGTAAAATAAATCTTTTAAAAAAATCTGGAAAAGAAAGAAAGAAAGAAAGAAAGAAAGAAAGAGCGAGCGAGAGAGCGAGCGAGCCGGGCAGTGGTGGCGCATGCCTTGAATCCCAGCACTTGGGAGGCAGAGACAGGTGGATTTCTGAGTTCGAGGCCAGCTTGGTCTACAGAGTGAGTTCCAGGACAACCTGGGCTATACAGAGAAACCCTGTCTCTAAAATCCGAAGTAAATAAGTAAATAAATCTGGGCATCTTAGTCAACCATCTATAACCTTAACACTAAGGGAGATGGTCAGCAAGGACAACATGGGCTACATAGTGGTATGTCTTGAAAATAAATAATTTATGCATGGTGGTCTAACCTTGGACTCCCAGCAGTTCTAGAGGCTAAGGCTAGATAGGATGAACACCTTAGGAAGATCTTGTCTCAAAATGACATGACTAAGTCGGGGGCTGCAGCTAAGGCTCAGTGGTTATGAGCACCCAGTTTCCGTTCTCAGAACCCACAAGGCAATTCGCAACCATCTGGATCTGTTCCAGGAGATGTGGTGCCCTCTTCTGGCCTCTGCTGGCACTGCATGCATGTGGTACAGGAACATACAGGCAGGCAGAACACCCACACACATAAAAATAAACCATAGCCAGGTTATGCTGACACACAGCTTTAATATCAAGCACTCAGGAGGCAGAGGCAGTTAGAGCTCTGTGAGATTGATGCCAGTCTGGTCTACAGTATGAGCCCCAGGACAGCCAGGCCTGTTACACACAGAAACCCTGGCTTGAAAAATCTAAATAAATAAATAGATAAATAAATCTATATAAAATACAAAACATAAGTCTGCTGCTGTAACTCACTGATTCTGGGCTCAATCCCAAGTATAAACACCAATAAAATAGAACACCCACAAGCTTGACCCAGGAATTCTATTCTTCAGTAAACACCCACAAGAATCCAAAAATAAATACTCACATCCGACGCACAGAAATAAACACTGTGATGTCAACCACAACAGACAAAACATGCTTTATTTAGTCTTCTACTTTAAAAAGATGATTTAGTTATATGTGCATATTTGTGTGTGTGGTGTGTGTGTGTGTGTGCACGCGCATGTATACACGCTCAGGTGCCCGTATAGGCCAGAAAAAGCTTCACATTCCTTGGGTCTGGATTTACAAGGGGTTTTGAGCCCCTTGATGTGGGTTCTCAGAAGTATGCTTTCGTCCTCTGCAAGGGCAAGCACTCTTAACTGCCGAGCCAATTCTCCAGCACCTCCATCTATTATATAATATATATATATATGAAGAGGTCTTATTTAATTAGGTTTGTAGAAAACAATTAACTGTATAAAACTTACAGTGAAGAATGACCATGTTTGAAAGCCGCTCCAAGACTCAAAGGAGAACACAGGATTGTAATAAACAGAGTTACAGAACACACTGAAGAGGTTTGTATAGTCAGCTCACTGGAACTGACGGGGTCACATTCTTAAGTATTGATTTTTTTCAAAAGAATTTGTTTATTTTATGTGAGTACACTCTCTCTGTCTTCAGACACACCAGAAAAGAGTATCAGATCTCATTACAGATGGCTGTGAGCCACCATGTAATTGCTGGGAATTGAACTCAGGACCTCTGGAACAGCAGTCAGTGCTCTTAACCGCTGCGCCATCTCTCCAGCCCTTATGTATTGATTTTTGCTTCATGCCGCCCCAGTGGCAGATCTCCTGTCTTCGAAGCACAAGCAGCACTCTGAGCACAACATTTCAAAAATCTGGAACTCTTGGTTATAGCACATCTGGGCTGTTGACCACAGTCAGGGTGTCTCAATCTTGTCTATGTGACAGGTGACATCATAGTGTGCAGACAAAAAACAAAACAAAAAACCCAACTAACCAATCAAACAAACAAACAAACAACATCATCAAAATGCTTGGAAGCATCCAACGCACTGTGCATCTTGGGGGTATAAATGGAGACTTCAGAATCTTTAGACAAATAGAGGCATTTATACTAAAACATTCGGACAGCACCACTGCCTCTGTTATGTCTGTCACAATGAAGCCAAGTCAAACGGATGTCCTTTGGGGCTGTAATGTTCAAGCGAGAGCCAGCAGGTCTGTAAGACCTCGAAGCACTCTCCAACCTCCACTGTTAGAAAAAACGTCTCTCAGAACAAATGGTCCCTATGGCAGCAAGCACTGAAGAGCCCAGCCAACCAGAGGAGCAGCCAGGACACTTGAGGGTAGTGGTGGGGTGCTCTGTCAACTCCTGCATTCCTCCATTAAAATGTGTGTGTGCGTGTTCGTGTGTGTACACGTATGTGCGTGTGTGTGTGATTATGTGTGTGTGTGTGTAGGAGTGTTTTCCCTGCATGGTTGTGTGTGTACCATGTGCACGCCTGGTGATGGAGGCTGGGAAGGGTACTGGATGCCCAGGAACTGGATTTATGGGTGGTGGTGGTTCTGAGTTTCCAAACAGGTGCTGGGAATTGAACCTCGGTCCTGTGTAAGAGCAGTACAAGATTTTTTTTTTTTTAAAGTTTTTTGAGACGGGATTTCTCTGTGTAGCCCTGGCTACGCTAGAACTTGTTCTGTAAACCAGGATGGCCTCAAACTCACAGAGATATGCCTGGTGTACAACACCGTGTCCAGCTTCCAGTACAAGCTCTTAAGAGGATATATCTCTTCAGCATCCTTCCCTCCATTTTCTCTTTCTTCCTTCCTTCCTTCCTTTCTTTCTTTCTCTTTCTTTCTTCCTTCCTTTTTCTTCCTTTCTTTCTCTCTCCTTCCTTCCTTCCTTTCTTCCTTCCTTCCTCCCTCCCTCCCTCCTTCCTTTTTCCCTCCGTCCCTCCCTCCGTTTTTTAAAAGAGGGAGTACCTACCTGGCTATGTACTTTTATCCTGTAACCCTCTGAAATCTTCCTGCCCCAGTATCCCTGGGTTAACTGACAAGCTGGAGCTATCACACTAAGCTTCAGTTATGCTTTGTAATTTTACTTTGGAGGGAATTCTTTTTCTGACTTGCATTATATTTTAAAGGTTAAGTTTTCCTGTATCTCAATAAAGCTGCTATAATTTATTTAATGACAAGGTCCCACTGTGTAGCTCCAGCAAGCCTGGAACTTGCTATATATAGTCTGTCCTTGAACTCAGAGAGATCCATCTGAAGCCATGTGCCACTGCGGACGGCTCATTTCTGGTTCTTTATGCTGAATGAGTACATGCCAGAATAAAAATTTACTTTAAATTTTAAAATTACTAAAAATTTTAAACGTCTTAAAGTAAATTAAAAAAATTTTTTTTTGATTGTTGTATTTGGAGTTATGGCCATAGGCCAACTTGTACTCTCAACCAGACCAGACACAAGCCACATTTTGGAGGCTGGGCCCCTTCCTCCGCTCTCTTTATAGACCTAGGGCCCTGACCGCCACGAAAACCAGACGCTCCCCTTAATCCTGGAGCCAACAGGCAAGGAACGAAACCGAAGGTGGAGCCAGAGCACCGTTACTAGGCAACTGCGATGGCCCCGCCTCTTCCCCAACCAATCAAGTGCTTTTATACACAGCGCAGGTACGTCGGGAGGCGCGTGACCCCGGCACGCACGGGGCATAGTTTTCCCCGCCTCCTCGCTCCCGTCACAGCCAATCAAAAGAAAGATTGTGGTGCGCGCCTTGCGTGCGAAGGTCGCCTAGCTCACCACCCCACCCCCACTCTTCAGGGCCTGCTCGCGGTGCGGAAAATGGGGTTCGGAGCTGGCCACCGGACGCCTGAAGGTTCCGCCACGCGCCCCGAGAGATGCCTCTGCCCCGGGGGACTTGCGGAAGCGGAACTTGTGAGGGATGCGGCGGCGGAGTACGCACCTGAGGGCCCTGCCGTGCGGGCCGCGCCGGGGGTCTGAAGCCTGGGTTGCGCGTGCGCAGCGGCCCTGGGCAGGCGACCGGAGCACGGGGGGCGAGGGAGCGAGGGCAGAGGGCGCCTCCTGTGCACCGGCCTCTTCACGCTCCCTTTCTTTTTGTCGTTTTTATTAGTTTTTTTTATATATTTATATATATTTTTGTCTTTGCTTCCTGGAAGGTCGGCTTCCCGCGCGTGTCCGAAGCACCCCCAGTGGGGACGGCCACTTCCGGTGCGCTTCGGGACAGCTTCCGCGAGGTCGCCAGCTGGGGTGCGTGGCGTGCGCGTTTCTTCGCGCCTCCCCTGAATGTGCATGGCCTTTCTTGATCTAGATACCTTCTACAAACTTGGTTGTGCGCGCGTGCGTGCCTGTGGCGGCGCTACGCGTGTGCACTACAGGAAGGCCAGAATAGGTCACGATATCCCCTGAACCCCGAATTACAGATGGTGTGGATGAGGAAAATCCACTGATCTTGTGCCCCTTGCAAAAGCAGCCAGTGTTCTTAACCGCTGAGCCTTCTCTCCAGCCCCACTTTACGGGGTTTCAGTTTCTTTGCTTTAAAATTGACTTGAAAAGGGGATGGAGGGGTGCCTCAGCTGTTAACGAGCTGGTGGTGTGCTTTCAGAAGACCAGAGTTGGATTCCCAGCGTCTGTTTCAGGCAGGCCACACGTACCTGTAACTCCCATCTCCAGAGGCTCTGAATCCCCTGGCCTCTGTAGGTGCCCACACTCGCTTAAAAAAAAAAAAATAAAAATATTTTAAAACTACTTTAAAGATGTACTGCTTAGTGTGTGGTGATACATGCCTTTAATCCTAGCATTCGAAAGGCAGAAATAGGCCAAATCTCCCTGAGTTTGAGGCCAGCCATGACTACATAAGATCCGATCCCAAAATAAAAGAGAGAACTAACACTTCGCTCCTACCAGGAAAGGTTGTGCAGCCTCCTCTGTGGTCTGCATTTGCTCATGTTCTTGAGCTGGCTCCAATAAATTCTCAGGTCATAACTGGGTCACTGATTGCTAGATCCCGTGGTCCAGCCTGTGGTGGTTCAGCCTGAAAATCACTTGCTCTCGGGACTTGCCAAAATCAGGCCACTCACCCTCACAACATGTGGCCTTTTAGGGCACAGTGCTTGATGACTGTCCTAGTTCCCACTCAAGTCCTTTTCTCCCCCTCTCAGATTGCTGCAACATTTCCTACTTTCTGTCTGGAATCTCTGCTGCTTGCTCTCTGTCCTTGACTTACCTAGTTTCAGGGTTATTAAATAACATTTCTGTTAGGTGGTGGTACAGGCCATTAATCCCAGCACTCTGGAGGCAAAGGCAGATGGATCTCTTGAGTTCAAGGCCAGACTGGTCTACAGAGCAAGTTTCGTGACAGCCAAAGCTATTCAGAGAAACCCTGTCTCAAAAGAAACAACAATAACAACAAACCAAAACAAAAAAGGCCCGGAAAACATTTACATGAGTCACTTCTTCAGTCTAGACCATTCCTCTCAGCTGGAGCTCTGTGTAGCCAGCTGCCTGTTTTGAAATCTCCACTCGGGAGATGATGAGCCTCAGAGGACATGGCCCACCCTATCCCCATGTCTTCTCGTCCTCCCTACCTCAAGGTCAGAGGTGTCTGCCCATGGTTTGCAGATCCCATGGGATGGTAGCACGTGTGGGAGGGCCTGCTTCATTTCCTGATAGTCAGGAAACAGAGGAAGGAAGAAGGAGGAGAAAGGAAAAGGAAGAAAAAAGAGTGGAGGGGAAAGAGGAAGGGATAGAGAAAATATAGGCAGACTTAGGGCTACATCACCAGTGATCCACTTCCTCCAGCTAGGTCCTACGTCCTGAAATTTCCAAAACACCCCAAATAGAGTAATCAGCTGGGGTTCAGGTTTCCAATAGATGAGCTTTTGGGGAGGACCCTTTACTGCAGACCATAATAGCTGGTTGAATTTCCTCCCCCCCTTCCTCCCTCCCTACCTCCCTCCATCTCCCCCCTTTCTTTCTTTTGACAGGGTCTCTTTACTTAACCCTGGCTGTCCTGGAACTCACAATGTAGACCAGGCTGGCCTCCAAGTCACAGAGATCCAACTGCCTCCTGAGTGATGGGATTAAAAACTTAGGCTGCTACATATCCTAATAAATAGCCAGGTGGTGGAGGCATACACCTTTAATCCTAGCATGGGAGAAGCAGAGGCAGAGGCAGGTAGATCTCTTGAGTTGGAGCCAGCCTGGTCTACAGAGCAAGTTTCAGGGCAGCCAGGGCTATACTGAGAAACCCCATCTTTTTTTTTTTTTGGTTTTTCAAGACAGGGTTTCTTTGTGTAGCCTTGGCTGTCCTGGAAATCACTCTGTAGACCAGGCTGGCCTCGAACTCAGAAATCCGCCTGCCTCTGCCTCCCAAGTGCTGGGATTAAAGGCGTGCACCACTACCGCTGGGCGAGAAACCCCATCTTAAAAACAAAAAAGGAAAAGAAAAGGGAGAGGAAGGAACCTGACACACACGAGTGGGTGGTGCCATCTGGACTCTATGTGTACATCTGCACACGCCTCCTAAAACAAAATGAAAACCACTACTTGAGAGGCAGAGGCAGGATATCGCCACGAGTTCAAGGCCAGCCTGGTTTACATAGCAAGTTTCAGGTTAGCCAGAGCTACATAGTGATACCCTGTCTCAAAAGTAACAGATAAGCCACACATTGCCATCATAAAAGATAAGCTTCAGTAAGAAAGGCTGACCTAAGGGAACTAGCTGATGTGTAGCAACAAGCAGGGTGGCCTGCACCTGTGGTGACACTGGTGAAGGCTGCCTTCGTGAGCAGGAGGACTCAAGGTTGAAATGCCATTTATAGTAGCTAGCGTCTCTCAATTAACTCAGGAATTTAATGCAATCTCAATGATAAAACCCCGTGGGGTTTTATTACTGCTGTTTGACAAGATGACTTTTTAAGTTTTCTCGGAGGTAAGTGATACGAATAGCCAAGTCAATTTTGTGAGAAAAGAGTAGAGAACAAAACAGGAAGCCTTGAATAAAAATTAGAACACACAATGCGGCATCTGGAACCTTGTCATAGGATCTACTGGTTTTCTTTTTTCCTTCCCCTGCTTTATCTTGAAACAAGATCTCATGTAGCTCAGGCTGGCCTCAAACTCACTATGTAGCCAAGGATGACCATAAACTCCTGATCCTCCTGCCTCTACCTCCCAAGTGCTGAGAAGACAGGCTTGTGCCACCATACTCAGCTTCGTCATATTTTCTAAATAGTATTTTATTTCAAACACTGAGATCGTGTTTGTGGTAGACAATAAATTGCTTTGGGGTGATGAGATTTTGGCCTCATGTGGTGGCACACACCCTCAATCCCAGAGCTTCAGAGGCAAAGAAGGGTGAACGCTGAGATCCACGCCTACCTGCTTTACATTGTGAGTTCCAGGTGAGCCAGGGCCATGCAGTCAGGTCTTGTTTCAAAAAGAAAAAAAAAAAGTCTGTTAAAAGTTTTTAATTGTGTGGCGGTGAGATGGCTAAGAGGGTGAAAGCACTTGTCTTTTGAGTCTGAAATTCTTGAACCCATCCTTGGAATCTATATGGAGGAGGGAGAGAAGAAAACTCCCTAAAGATGTTTTCTTAACTTCCGCACTTACAGTAGTGTGTATTCACCCCCATCCCCAGATACATAAATGAGAGATATTTTATTATGTTTTAAAAATTGAGACTGGACTTGGTAGCGCTTGCCTGTAATCCTGGCACCCAGGAGGTAAAGGCAGGAGGATCAGGAGTTGAAGCAACATTGTAAGTTCAATACCAGCCCGGTCTACATTTGACCCTGTTTCAAAAACCACAAACATTTACTTTTGTGGGGCTGAGTAGAACTCAAGAACTTGCATATGCTAGGGGAGCACATTACCACTGGGTCACACTCCCTGCTTCTGCCTGCAATTGTAAATCTCCTTCCGAACCGGCCTGTTGTGCCCCTTGTCACAAAACAGGAACCAAATTGATGGGCAAGCACCGCCACCTAGTGGCCATGATTCATACTGTAGCGGTCCTCTTGGTCGCAATTTTTGAAGTGTTTGTTTTGTTTTTGTTTTTTTTAACTTTTACTTACTTGTATCCGTGCATGTCTGTATGAGTGAATGCCATATGTATTCAAGGGTCCCTGGAAACGAGAAGTCTTTGTCAGACTCCCTGAAGCTGGAGTTCTTAGGTGGTTGTGAGCCATTTGACGTGGGGCTTGGGAAACGAATTTGAGTCTTCGGCTAGAGCAGCAAGCACTCAAGAAGCTTAATGGCTTAAGCGGACTTTTTCTTCTCCCTTTTCCCCTTTGAGATAAGGTCTCACCGTGTACATGTAGCCCCGGCAGGTCTGGAACTCACGATGTAGACCAGGCAAGCCTACTGCGCATGCCTACTGAGTGCTGCGTTCAAAGGTATGCGCCACCATGTCCAACTCTTCGTTCCCAATTTTTCACCAGAGAAGACTTCTTTCTTTTGGCTACTCTTTTCTTTTGAACTAGGGTTTCACTATGTCAACCTGACTGGCCTGGAACTAGTTATGTAGACCAGGCTGGCCTCAAACTCACTAAGCCTGCCTTCCTCTGCCTTTGGAGTGGTGGGATTAAAGGTGTGGACTGTCATGCCCTTCTATCTTTTTTTTTTTTAACTTTCTTTTTTTTTAATTTCTTTTTTTTTTGAACATGAAATGCTTTTTTATAGCATGTTTTACAAGGGGAGGGGGTAAGAGGGGCCCGGTGGTGGAAAAGTACAGAATCTTCTTGGCCTGTGCCTTGAAACATGTCATGGTCTATACGGTACACTGCCTTGAATTATGGTCTCCCTGCTATTCTTCAGAAGATATGGTACTCTGCTTTGAGTCTATCTGCAGTTGCTAAGCAGGATCTTGCAGTTGCCAAGCTTCAGAGGACATTGTGCAGGTGGGGAAAGATAGGGGGTGAGGGTAAGGGCGAGGGTCCTGGCTTCTGCCATCTCCCCCTTCTCTGTTTAGTTAGAGAAGGCGTCTTATGATCAATCCCAACTATGTGAATTTTGAATTTGGATGTCTAATTATGGGGGGTCTTAGACAAGTTCACAGATGCCCTTCTATCTTTTTGGCCATCTCCTAAATGTAAGATGGTTTAGAAAGTTGAAGGATGCATCTAAGGTTATTGAACTTTTCTTTTGTGAGGTAGCATGTCAGACGGCAACCCAGGCTGGGGTTGAAGTCCTGCTCCTTTTGAGTGCTGGCATATCAGATGAGCGCCCCACACATGGATAAGGGAGGTTGACTTTGTGAATAGTGGGCAGGTGCTCTACCACTGAGCCACGCCCCCAGCCCCTCACTGTGGGATTCTAGGCAG